CCGTCACCAGGCAACCCAGGACAAACCAAATGAAACTCTGCCTTCTTCCGCAATGCTGAGGTTGGACACGTGTCCTTGGAAAGCGAATCAAAAGGCCAGAGTGCTGGGGCCATCGGGTGGAGCCAATGGAAGCGAAAGAGTGGGTTGATCCAAGCCCAAGAGGGCGGATTTACAGGGGTGGAGCCTGGGGCAAAGCCTGAGTAAGAACAGAAGCCGTGGGCTGAGCTCTGCCTGGGCAAGCCTACCTTACTGGCAGTCTGGAACTCGCTCTGAAGCAGGAACTTTCTTTCTTTCTTCCTTTCTCCCTTTCTTCCTTTCTCCCTTTCTTCCTTTCTCCCTTTCTTTCTTTCTCCCTTTCTTTCTTTCTTTCTTTCTTTCTTTTTCTCTTTCTTTCTTTTTCTCTCTCTCTTCCTTCCTTCCTTCTTTCCCTCCCTCCCTCTCTCCCTTCCTTCCTTTTTTTCCTGTTTCTCTTTCATTATCCTCCCCCTCCCTCCCTCCCTCCCTCCCTCCCTCCCTCCCTCCCTTCCTCCCTCCCTCTCTCTCTCTTTCTTGTTTGTCTATCTGTTTCAAGAGGTTTCTCTGTGTAGCATGGCTGTCCTGGAACTCGTTCTGTAGAACAGACTGATCTCGAACTCCCAGATCCACCTGCCTCTGCCTCCCTTGTGTTAGGATTGAAGGCCTGCACCACCACTGCCAGGCTGGCACTTTCTATTTTTGCCAGCTGTATTTGGAGCTTCTATCTTGATCAAGGAGTTGTGTGACCACTTTCTTTTCTTTTCCCTCCCTCCCTCTCTCCCTCTCCCTCTCCCTCTCCCTCCCTCCCTCCCTTCCTCCCTCTCCCTCCCTCTCCCTCTCCCTCTCCCTCTCTCCCTCTCTCTCTCTCTCTCTCTCTCTCTCTCTCTCTCTCTCTCTCTCTCTCTCTCTCTCTCTCTCTCAAGACAGGGTTTCTCTGTATAGCCCTGGCTATCCTTAAACTCAGAGATCTGCCTGTCTCTGCCTCCTGAATGCTGGGATTAAAGTCATGAGCCACCACCGCCTAGCTCAATCTATTTCTTTATGTCCAAAAATCTAAAGGCATCACTTCTTTGTAACTTAAAAGAGATCATTGCCTGTAGTAGCAAGTTATAAGAAAGCTGAGACAGGAGGAACTCTGGGACCGTTGACCAGCCTGGGCAACATAATAAGACTGTCAAAAACCAAAACAAATGGAAGAAGCCATTTTTCTGGGCTAAGTTCCTACAGACAAGAACACAACAGCCAATGAAGTGAGGGGCCACATAACCAAACAGGACCTTAAAAAACAGGCTAGTTGCCCATTGTCCAGGAGATGGCTCAGTTGGTAAAGTGGGGACATAAATTGCTCCCCAGAACCCGCATAAAAAGCTGACATTGCTGTGGGTTCATAACCCAGTACTGGGGCTGCTGAGGCAGACACATCTCTAGAAATCACTGGTCAGCCATCGACTGAGTCCCAGGTTGAGTGAGAGATCCTGTCTCAAGAAATAAGGTGGGGAAAAAAATAAATAAAAGTAAGAAATAAGGTGGGGGAAAGAACAGAGGCTAGAGAGGGATGGCTCAGCAGTTAAGAGCACAGGCTGTTCTTCCAGAGGACTGGGGTGCAGTTCCTGGCACCTACCTGCCAGCTCATAACCGTCTGTAACTTCAGTTGCAGGAGTTCTATGCTCTCTTCTGGATTTCCAGGGCAGCAGGGCACACACGACACATACACATGCATGCAGGCAAAACACTCATACACACAAAATAAAATAAATGTATTTAAAAGAATGGAGGAAGACACTTCAAGCTCTAACCCCCACACATGCGTGTGCAATCACACATAGGCACATATCCATCAGATACACACACGCACACGCGTGCACACACACACACACACACACACACGCACAAAGTCACTTTTCCAAAATAGGACAATTATAACATCAATCACATGGCATGATCAGGACGTTCAAAGACCAACCTGCCAAAAGCATTGGTGATGCCTTGAATTCCAACATTTGGGAGACAGACAGGCAGACCTGTGTGAGTTCAATGCCAGCCTGGGCTACATAGGGAGTTCTAAGCCAGCCTGGGCTACATAGTGAGACTCCGTTTAAGAACAAAGACCAGTCTGGTGTTTTGCTCAGTTCCACTTCCTGCAGCCTTTCCTGCTCAAGCCTCTTTGCCGGGGCTCATACAGCACTTCCCCTTTCTATTGCTTGCGGGCAGCTGCCCAGTGAAGGCAGTCATATCTTTAGTCAGTCTTCTCTTTCTGTTTTTCTTCTCTTTCTTTCTTTTGACAGGTCTCAGAGTGCTGGAATTAAAGGTATTTGTCATCACACCAGCAATTACTTGTTTGTTTATTTATTTATTTATTTATTGAGATGGAGTCTGTCTGTATAGTCCTGGATGCCCTGGAGCTCCCTAGGTAGTCCAGGCTGACCTTGAATCACAGAGATCCTCTTGCCTCTGTCTTCAAAGTACTAGAATTAAAGATATGCATCATCACACACTGTTCTTTTTTTTAAACTTTAACCACACTAAATCACCCTACCACTGGAAATGACAAGCTAGAATTTGCTACCTGCCATTTCTACTACATTCACCATGGGAAGAGAAAAAAAGCAGTGTCTGGCCTTTGGTGGTTGTACATGAACTTGGGGCTGATTTCTAGATTTGCCCCACCTTTTACTTAAGAACACCAAGGGAGCTGGCAGACTGAGCTCCAAGGTCAAGCAGACCAGAGATTTCACAGTCCACTATCTATGCTATATAACAGACCACCCAAATAACCTACTGACTTGAAATAGAAGCCCCTAGTATATACACGAGTTCTCAGGATGTGACTGACTCCTGACAGGAGGTGTACCTTTGCTGTAGACAGGGACACTAAATGTCAATGCTGTATGCACATTCTTGCTCCTGCCTGGGGGACTGGGTGGCTCAGGCTGAAGTCACCTAAAAATGAATGGACACCTGTGTGCTGCCTCTTCAGGTGTGTGGGCTTCCACCAGTATAGTGCCCTCTCTGAGAACCAAGCAGGTTTCTGCCCTAACCTCTGGAGTATCACTTCATGAAAGTGGTTATGCTGTTCAGTAAGGAGGATTTGCTTATTTTGCTCAGTTCTGGAGGCTGCTTCCCATGTTCTTATAGACCTATTGTCTTTTGCTCCCGTCAGCTAGGGAGTGCATAGTACATAGAGCAAAGACATTCACCTCATAATGACAACAGAAGTCCAAGGAGAGGACCACCACACCTTGGAAAGACAATGTAACTATGCACAGGCCTCCACAGAAAAAAGAGAACCACAATTTTGGTTGCATCCCAGCAAAGGACCACAAGTGAAATGTTGGACCTTACAGTTATACCAACCAACATTACAGGAAGTAAAACATAATTTAACTGCCAGTCTTTAATCCCAGCACTTGGAAGGCAGAGTCAGGTTGATCTCTGTGAGTTCCAAGCCAGCCTGGTTTACATAGTGAATTCCAGGACAGCCAGGGTTATATAAACAGACTCTGTCTCAAAAACAAATGAACAAACAAAACTGACACAGGATAAATTGTTGCTTTAGATTTCAAGTCAGATCACTCACTAAGTTTTAGGGAAGTTTATTTCACAGCCACAGCTGAGACAGCACAGTGTTGTCCTTTGTTTACTTATCTTTGTTGAACTCTAGACCCTGCATCAGGGCCAGAGCTGGAGACATGTTACCCTTATAGTCTGAAGCCAGGGCTAGCAGCTTCCCAGTCTATCTTCTTCAGTACCTATGGCTGAGGAACACATAGAGAGAGGTTGTGAGAAGGTACTGTGTATACCATATTCTTGCGGGGCGCTACCAAGCAGAGAGTAGGGGCTTAAGCTTTGACAACACCCTTGACCATAATGGAATGGGCAACAGAGAGGCTCAGTTCAGAAGTTCTGCCTTCACCCAGCTGTGCACACTCACTATGGACCTCTGAACAGTTGGCCTCTCTGGGTTTCAGTCTTCTCCCTGAGGAGGATGGAGAATTCTGGGCAAGGATCTCTGGCAATGGCACACTTTCTGTGTGACTGGATACTAGGCATTCTGAAGCTATGGGAAACCACCACCAGGGGGGACATGGAACCAGTGTTTGGATCCTGTCCCCAGCTAGTGCCTTCTCAAAGGCCAAGTCCCAGCCTTCTCAACAGTTTTCCCTTCCCTGTCTCCCCAGTTCAAGTCTCAGACTTCAGCTTCTTTTTTTTTTTTTTTGGTTTTTCCAGACAGGGTTTCTCTGTAGCTTTGGAGGCTGTCCTGGAACTCACTTTGTAGACCAGGCTGGCCTCGAACTCACAGAGATCCTCCTGCCTCTGTCTCCCTGAGTGCTGGGATTAAAGGCGTGCACCACCAACGCCTGGCCAGACTTCAGCTTCTTATATGGCTTACAGCATAGACAGAAGGAAGAAAGATGAAGATGAACCCCCCCCCATGGGAGACAGGAACGGTGTCTCTAGCCTGTGCCTTGTGGGTGATGGGAAGAGCTGTTTCCTGAGTCACAAGGGATGTGCCAGGGGTTCTGGGATGGGAGTTTAAACTAAGCAAACTTCCTTCTCTAGTTCCCTTCCCTGACTCTCTAGGATACAACATGAGACCCTTTTAGTGCAAACCTTAGCACCAGCCTAGGAGATAAGGGCTTGTTCTCTTCCCTTCTCAATCTAAACTACTCTTTCCCCAAAATAAACCTTATTTATATCTTTATATCACACACAATTCAGCCCTGTCTTTTTTTTTTTTTTTTTTTTTTTTTTTTTGGTTTTTAGAGACAGGGTTTCTCTGTGGCTTTGGAGACTGTCCTGGAACTTGCTCTGTAGACCAGACTGGTCTCGAACTCACAGAGATCCGCCTGCCTCTGCCTCCCGAGTGCTGGGATTAAAGGCGTGCGCCACCAACACCCGGCTATCAGCCCTGCCTTATCTTAAAAAAAAAAAAAAAGAGGGCAGACAAAGGCAAAGAAAAAGAACTCTCCAAGACCAGACAGAGATCTGACAGCAGTGACTTTATTAAGTATGCCCCCTCCAAATATAAACACAACCCAGTAAAAAACAAAACAACCATAAAACATCAGGCCTGGAGCCATAATAAAACAGAGACAAATGAGCAACACAAATACAGAGGTGGCCTAAATGGGGAGGACAGAGCCAAGTGGACTCATGTGGGGTGGGACAGCCATAAATACTGAAGGACTTTCACCTGGTAGCCCTAGGGTGCCTTAATGAGCTGGTGGGAAGCAAAGCTAGGGGCAGTGTCAGTAGCTAGATGGCTCTGGGGGACAGATGCTGCTTGTCTTGGCCCTGGCTGCCACTTGGCCCCACACCCCAGCTGTGAGCAACTTCACTTGGGCCCCTGGGCTTCGGATTCCTCATCGTCATCTTCATACATTTCACCCTCCTCCTCAGCTGTGGCATCCTGGTATTGCTGGTACTCAGATACCAGGTCATTCATGTTGCTCTCGGCCTCTGTGAACTCCATCTCATCCATACCCTCGCCTGTGTACCAGTGCAGGAAGGCCTTGCGCCGGAACATGGCTGTAAACTGCTCTGAGATGCGTTTGAACAGCTCCTGGATGGCCGTGCTGTTGCCAATGAAGGTGGATGACATCTTGAGCCCTCGGGGTGGGATATCACACACTGCTACCTTGACATTGTTGGGGATCCATTCCACAAAGTAACTGCTGTTCTTACTCTGGATGGCCAGCATCTGCTCGTCTACCTCCTTCATGGACATGCGCCCGCGGAAGACAGTGGCCACCGTCAGGTAGCGGCCGTGGCGTGGGTCACAGGCAGCCATCATGTTCTTGGCATCGAACATCTGCTGGGTGAGCTCAGGCACTGTCAGGGCACGGTACTGCTGACTGCCCCGGGCTGTGAGTGGGGCGAAGCCGGGCATGAAGAAGTGCAGGCGTGGGAAGGGCACCATGTTGACAGCCAGCTTGCGGAGGTCAGCATTGAGCTGGCCGGGGAATCGAAGGGAGGTGGTGACTCCACTCATAGTAGCAGACACAAGGTGGTTGAGGTCCCCGTAGGTGGGTGTGGCCAGCTTGAGGGTGCGGAAGCAGATATCGTAGAGGGCCTCATTGTCAATGCAGTAGGTCTCATCAGTGTTCTCCACTAGCTGGTGGATGGACAGGGTGGCATTGTAGGGTTCCACCACAGTGTCGGACACTTTGGGTGAGGGCACCACGCTGAAGGTGTTCATGATGCGGTCAGGGTACTCCTCGCGCACCTTGCTGATGAGCAGGGTCCCCATGCCTGAGCCTGTGCCGCCGCCCAGTGAGTGCGTGAGCTGGAAGCCCTGCAGGCAGTCGCAGTTCTCACACTCCTTCCGCACCACATCCAGGACTGAGTCCACCAGCTCTGCGCCCTCAGTGTAGTGCCCCTTGGCCCAGTTGTTGCCAGCGCCACTCTGACCTATAGAGACAGAAGAGGCAGGTGATAGGAAAGCTCAGGGGTCTGCAGTGTAGACCTCTAGGTCCTGCCAAACACTCTAGAAGAAAGTTGGTTCCCCTGTAGTCTATAAAATGCACGCTGTGCTAATACACCTTCTCATTCCTCCTGCGTTTCACGGTTGAGTTGTGGGCATCTCAGCTGCAGAAGCTAGGAACAGGGTAGGGAGAATCTGGGATAAGGCAAGGGCTTGCTATGTCTCGCTCAAGGATGTCCCTCTCCAGCTCACCTTTCCTCCCAGTGGTCTGCTCAGACCTTGAAGGGAGATGAAGGCTGTCCTTTATTCAGCCACTTTGCCTACTCTCCTCACCCCTCTAAGCCAAATACTCCTCTTTTCCAAAATAAAAAGAAATCCTGAGCATCTATTGTGGCTGGGGACTGGCTAAGAACTGGCACCCACTAGTCGAGTGCCAGTCTTCTTCTTTTTTTTTTTTTTTTTTTTTTTTTTGGTTTTTACGAGACAGGGTTTCTCTGTATTGTTTTGGAGGCTATCGGTCCAGCCCGGCCTCGAACTCACAGAGATCAGCCTGCCTCTGCCTCCCGAGTGCTGGGATTAAAGGCGTGCACCACCACCTCCCGGCTCGAGTGCCAGTCTTTAAAAACAACACTTTTGTTTCTTTAAAGAGAGAGAATATGTACACGTGTGGGTGTGCACTCAGATCACCAAGTTTGACAGCAAGCCCCTTTACCTGCTGAGACATTTTACCGGCTCAAGGTGCTGAGTTTGAAAGCAGAAGTGAGGTGAGACTGTGTAAGCACTGAGGACCTGTCACTGGGCACAGACTCAAGGACACGCTGGCCTCTTGACACATGCTCATAAACTGGAGCCCTCTGGAGACCCCACTTTTGTCCTCATTCTTTGTAAAATGTCGAGAGGGATTATTTCTCACACAGAATCCTTCATCTAGACCTCCAATGCTCATAGTAAAATGGGAAGTGATTTTCACCCTCCAGGTCCCAGTGAAGAATGGTTGACTTCATCCCCTTTTCAGGCACTCTGCCTTGATCTGTTGACTTAGGTTTGCCAGGCCCAGGTTTCTGTCATCAGAGTCTGGAGCAGAGGAACTTACCAAAGATAAAGTTGTCGGGCCTGAATAGGTGTCCAAAGGCCCCAGACCGCACACTATCCATGGTTCCAGGTTCCAGGTCCACCAGGATGGCTCTGGGCACATATTTGTGAGCTGAGAGGAGAGAAGATTCAATGGTGTGAGTTAAAGAGTCAGGGGAATCTATCTACTTCCCCCAAAATCCTGCCTTCAGCCTGCCAGACTCCTGCTCTCACCCTAAGGGCTGGAACTTGGTTTGGTTTGTTTGCTTTTTGTTGTTGTTTTTGAGATAGGGTTTCTCTGTGTAACAGTCCTGGTTGTCCTGGAATTCAACTTTGTAGAACAGGCCGGCCTCAAACTCACTGAGATCCACCTGCCTCTGCCTCTCAAGTGCTGGGATTAAAGGCATGCGCCACCACTGCTCAGCTTTGGAACTAGTATTATAGGCATGAACCCATGGTAAGCTCTGGCCTGGTCGTGGGTGTGATGACTGACCTAGGACAGGTAGGATCAAGTCCTGCCTATCGATGGACTACTCACAGCAATCACCATCATTAAATACATTTGCATCTTACTCCATGGCAGTAACTCTTTTTTTTTTTTTTTTGGTTTTTTTTTTTTTTTCGAGACAGGGTTTCTCTGTAGCTTTGGAGGCTGTCCTGGAACTCACTTTGTAGACCAGGCTGGCCTCGAACTCACAGAGATCCACCTGCCTCTGTCTCCTGAGTGCTGGGATTAAAGGCGTGCGTCACCAACGCCCGGCTGGCAGTAACTCTTATAGTGTGCCTCATTTCCAGTCATACCTGCTAGCCTCTAGTCAATGGATGTTAGGACTCAATTTACCCAGGGGCCCTTCTTGCCAGGGTCAGGATGGACGTGGAGTGGTACTCACAGGAGGCCTCATTGTAGTACACGCTGATGCGCTCCAGCTGCAGGTCTGAGTCTCCCACGTAGTTCCCACTGGGGTCTATGCCATGCTCATCGCTGATGACCTCCCAGAACTGTATGAGAACAGAAGAAAGAGTTCAGCGGGCACTTGTGACCCTAGTAGACCTTTTCTCTTCTGAAGTCTTAAAGCCCTCAGTGCAAAAGTAGAACTTTGGGACCCTACTAGGCCCAGCATTAGGCTTTAGGAAAGAATAAAAATGAATACCTACTCTGTGTTATCTGGCTAACATTACCAGGCCCCCAGGGTGCACTAGGACTCAGCCCACACCAACAGATTCTAGCCAGCTCTGCACCTGTAGGGAAATGCAGATATCTCCTGGGGTTCTTTTTATTCTTTCTTTTCAGGAATTAACTGGAGGCACACAAAAGCTAGAAAGTTGCCCAGAGCAGGTGGTAGAGCAGGATACAGGTCAGGTCCAGCATCAGGTTCTCAGTCACTACATGTGACCCTCAGTACCAGTGCAAGCCATGCACACTGCCAGATTCCACTGGTGCCTGGCCTATCACTGACCTCAGGCAGTGTAACCCACAATTGGATCTGCAGAAAAGCCCCAGGAGTCTCCAGCAGCATAATGGCTTGTCTGAGGTCTTGCACCTTATCTAGGAGCCTGGCAACATCCAGGAATATCGGCTCACGAGCTGTGACACTCAGTAGTGAGCCCCTTACACACGATTGCAATGTTCCTCACACATTGCCACGACCACCTCAGCAGGGCAAGGCAGCACAGAGCATGGTCTAAGATTCAGAGTTCACAGTGGCCCCACAAGGGCTTGCTGTGTTTTGGTGTCTTCTGTACAATGGGCTGGCTCCATGAACACAGATTCTTGTGAGAACAGAGTTAATCTGCACAGAGCATACAAGCAGCTTCGGCAGATAATCACCACTGTTACATAGTCCTGGGACCCAGGGAATGCAAGGCCTATAGACAGGAAAACACTTCACCAGGGCACACAGGCTACCAGGCCAGCAGCGACCTCTTTGGCTGTGAGACCCTACATCATTGCCTATTTCTTACTGCTAGGAGCAGGAATGACTTGCAGATAAGTTAATGATATAAAGGCCTAGAGAAACAAAAGGCCTCTACCTAGGAGTCATGTGGAGAAAAGGATTGACCCATGTGGGAAAGCAGGTTAGAAAACAGTCTGTATGTGCTTGTCTATATTTGGATGTCTTGGGGCTGAGAGAAAGAGAATTTTCACTGTTTACCCTTTGGTGCCATTGGACTTTTGTCATATGCACGTTAGCATTTATTTATTTATTTATTTATTTATTTATTTATTTATTTCAAGACAAGGTTTTCTGTGTAGTCTTGGTGGTACTAGAGTTCACTCTGTAGACTAGACTGGCCTTGGACTCAAAAATTCATCTGCCTCTGCCTTCCCAGACCTGGGATTAAAAGTGTGAGACACTGACCCAGCTGTACTAATTTTTAATTTAAAACAATGGAACTAGAGACGTGGCTGTTCTTTTTTTTTATGAGACAGGGTTTCTCTGTATTGTTTTGGAGGCTGTCGGTCCAGCCCTGCCTCGAACTCACAGAGATCCGCCTGCCTCTGCCTCCCGAGTGCTGGGATTAAAGGCATGCGCCACCAACGCCCAGCATGGCTGTTCTTATGGAAGACTCAAGTTCAGCAGGACTATACAGAGAAATCCTGTCTCAAAAAACAAACAAAAGAGAAGAAGAAGAAGAAGAAGAAGAAGAAGAAGAAGAAGAAGAAGAAGAAGAAGAAGAAGAAGAAGAAGAAGAAGAAGAAGAAGAAGAAGAAGAAGAAGAAGAAGAAGAAGAAGAAGAAGAAGAAGAAGAAGAAGAAGAAGAAGAAGAAGAAGGGTGGAGAGATGGCCCAGAGGTTAAGAGCATTGGCTGCTCTTCCAGAGGTCCTGAGTTCAATTCCCAGCAACCACATGATGGCTCACAACCATCTGTAATGGGATCTGGTGCCTTCTTCTGGCCTGCAGGCATACATGCAGACAGAACACTGTATACATAATAAATAAGTAAATCTAAAAAAAAAAAAGACTCAGTTTCAGTTCCAAGCATCACCCATATGGTGGCTCACACCATCTGTACCTCCAGTTTCAGAGGTCTGATGATGCCTCTATTTGCACCAAGCATGTGTACACACACACACACACACACACACACACACACACACACACACACACACAAATTTTAAATTAAAAATGATAGATTACCTTATCTGCAGGTCTTATTTTGTTATTATATTGGTTTTGGGTTTGTTTGTGTGTGTGTGTGTGTTTGAAACAAGGTCTTGCTGGGCAGTGGTGGTGCACACCTTTAATCCCAGTACTAGGGAGGCAGAAGCAGGCAGTTCTCTGAGTTTGAGGCCAGCCTGGTCTATAAAGTAAGTAGCTAGAGCTACATAGAGAAACCCTGTCTCAGAAAAACAAATAAACAAAAAACCGAAACAAGGTTCTTGATATATGACCCAAGCTGAAGCAATTCTTTTTTTAGTTTTGTTTTTTGTTTTTCGAGACAGGGTTTCTCTGTATTGTTTTGGAGGGTGTCCTGGAACTAGCTCTGTAGACCAGGCTGGCCTCGAACTCACAGAGATGCGCCTGTCTCTGCCTCCAGAGTGCTGGAATTAAAGGCGTGCACCACCAACGCCCCAGCAATCTTAACAATCTTCCTGCCTCAGCTTCTGCAGTGCTGGTACTTCGTATTAGTGTACAGCAGCATGCTCAGTTCTTACAGCATTTCAGTGTTTGCTTTGTTTACTCTGCTGGAGATCAAACATAAAGGCCTCTTGCATGCTAAACAAACAAGGACTTTAACGCTGAGCTACATCACCAGCCAGTGCTTCAGTTTTTCTTTGAAAAACATCAACAATTGTTTTTGTAAATTAAAAGTAATAGAATGAAATTCGAAATAAACTATTCCCAGCTTCAATGGTATAGAGCTGTAAACCCAATACTTAGAAGACTGAGGCTGGAGGATCATGAGTTCAAGGCCAGTCTGGACTACATATTGAGAGGCTAACATATAATAACACAAATAAAATAAAACCTAATAAGAAAATATTACTACATAGAAAATAAGAAAATGCATATAATTATTTAAATTAAATGAATAATATTATTTAAATTAAATGAATATGATTATTTCAATTAAACCAATATAATTATTTACATTAAGTAGCATCACTGCAGAAAACCACCAGGTGTTGTGAATCCAATCTAAACCCACCCTGGTTCAGCCTCTCTTAGACCCCAGGTTCCAGCCCTCAAACCACGGTGCTGCTGTCCGAGGTGCTGACCCACTTGGGGTGTAGGCCCCTGAGACTCAGGGTAGTGGAACATGAGTGCAAGCAGAGTTGTGATTCATGACTCCTGCAGAGAGCTCCAAGAGCCCCCAAGGATGTTCAATTCCCCTAGAACTCTGAGGACCCCCTTCACCAGGACCATTGGCTCTCAGGTGGGTCACACCCTCCAAAGGATCCTGCATGGGGGGTAGTGGCATTAGGCAGCTGGTGGGGCACAGATAAGAAGAGTAGACAAAGGCACCATAAGGACATTTTCTAGGGAACTCCTTTATAGGAGAATGAATCTAGGCTCTCAGGTCCCAGCAAAGGGAACAATAAGGGTGGCCCAGTCACATCTGCTCCTGTTGATGGGGGCACATGTCACCAACCACATTGACACATCTGCATACACCTATACTAAAATTTCTGCCTTGTTCAAATCCATGGTGTGATCCAAGGCAAGTGACTCAACTTCTAGAACCTTCATCTTTTTCAGCCTTAAGGGAAAGTGACGCCCACACCACACTCTTCACAGGTATAATAATGCACCAGACCCAGGGCTTCAACTCGCAGGAGGTGGTAACATGCACTACTTATGCACCAATTCTGCTGCTTCCAAGCATTTCCTCCTGGCCTCACACTTCTCTTTCTGTCTCCACTCCACCCACACCTCTGCCCAATCACTTCTCCAAAGCCTGTGGCCCTTTGTGCTAAGAGAGGCACCACCCAAGGACCAATAAGCAAAAAAACAAAAACAAAAACAAAAACCTGCCTCCTGTACCCACTCTCTCGGTTCCTACAGGTGGCAGGGAAAAACTTTCCCCACTGCAGCTCGCACCAGGGACCCTAAAGCCAGCTACAAAAATAGGAAGTAAATCTGGCCAAGGAAGTTCATATTGCCTGGGGCAGATGCTAAGCAGGTAAATCCCCACAGAGCCTGGCCCTTCAGTCTGGTCTCTGTGAGATCCTCTAGGGCAGAGGGCTGGATGGAAACTGCTAAAATGCCTTGTGCTGACTACTATGAAGGGAAACAATGGACAAGGAAGACACCCCTCCCCAGATAATTTACTCATTATTTGCATTGTTAAAAAAGATCAGCTATTCAAAAATTTACAAACATCTAAGTTTTAAAAAAGACAAAAGAAACAGCAAAAGCCCCAAAAGAATACAAAAGGGGAAACCTAAGGGCCATAGTGCTGAGAAACAGAGCAAATCCCAGCTCAGTCCAGCACTCAGGCCTCTTCCACAGCTCACACGCCTCCGATGGACAGGGCCTGGGTGTGGCCCTGACTTCTAGGCCCTTGCTAAACAGGAGTCCTTGTAGGAGCATAGTACAGCATCAGTTCCAGCACAGGAGGGTCACCAAACAGGCCTTAGGATTGCAACCCCCCACCCCACCCCCACCCCCCACCCCGCCTTTGCAGGAGCAGATGTTCAGGGAAAGCCTGGCACCTGTGACCACATTAATGAGCCCTCACCCTCCCTTCAGGCCAGGGCAGCTGTCAGTGATTACCCCAGGAGCCCTGATTTGATCTGAGGCTCCTGCCTTAGCTTCCCCTGTATGCACCCCTCCCCATGCTCCCCTCCAGAATAGGAACAGCTGTCTTCTCTGTGATTGGGGTGCCTCCCTAGTGCTGCTTCCCTCCCCCCTAACTAGAAGATCCTCCACCCTAGAGCCAAACTTGCAATTTACATGTCAGCCACGTGACTGCCCCAGCCCATGATAATTAGCTTTTTGTTCCTGCCTGGTTTCTATGGTAACAGCCTCCAGAGGTAATCTTTGCTTCGTCCCCTCCCTTCCAGGACCTGTCTACCCCATCTCCTCCTTTGGGAACTAACTATACACCATCCCTGAGCTATGTCCAGCATCCATCTGGACAAAGCTCCATCTCACATATGGAGCTCAAACAATAGTTCAGAAGGAAGAATGAGGCAGCTGACCCCACCCACTCAGACCCAACCCAACCCCAGGCTGGACTTCTGTAGGGATCAAGAGGTTCTGTCTTCCACTTTCTGTGTGACCTTGAGTAAGAAACAGCCTCCTAGGACTTGGAAACAGGACAGCTACCTCACTAATCATAGCAGGGATGCACAGTCACTGCACCAACACCCTTTCTCACCCCCCTCAGTTCTACACCTGGAGGTGGGCTGACAATAGAGGGGAAATATCGGCCATCCTTGCAGTCGGCTTTGTTCTGTGTTCAGTCCCGACTGGGAGGCCTAGGGAGGGCACAGTTAGAGATGGGAGATTTGTACAGATAGGGAGAGTTCAGTTCCGGACCAAGGTCATCGGAGTCCAGGCCAGTCCCTCCAACAAAGGAACAGGGTGGGGCAAGGAAGCTGAGGGTGATCTGAGCAACGCTGACGATGTGAGGGCGGCCTGGCTCCTTGGAGACGTCCTATTCTCCAGTGGGGGTTCAGGCATGTACAGTCATTATGGCTTTAGGGGAGAGCCCCACCCAAAGTTGCCCGACACACCCATCTTACTCAAGACTTAAGTGACTGTCTCAAAGAAGACCACGCCCAGTCGGCGCCCCCAACCATATCTTCTGTACCTGCTGGAGCCATGGTGTGTGGGGGTGAGCAGAATGGATGGAAGCTAAGAGTCAGAAGGGTTGCCCCTAGCTGTCCGCAGCAACCTGGGCGCGGAGCAGAGTGAGGGGAGCTAACTGGGGATCCCGGGGTCCCAGGAGCCAGGCGAGGGGCTGGACTATTCCCTTTGTTCCGCCGGCAGCTCCCAGAACAGCCTCTCTCTCCCCCACCCCCCAACCCCCTGGGGCTGGCACTCGTGGGGACGCAGGATACCGGACCGCCCAACCTCACCTTGGCCCCTATTTGGTTGCCGCACTGGCCGGCCTGGATGTGCACGATCTCCCTCATGCTGACTTCAAACGGCTAGAGTCGAGAAGCAGGCGGACAGCGGGCTGCGGAGGATCTGTGGCCTCTGCCGCGCCCTCTTATAAGAGGCTGCCCCGCCCTCGCTAGCTGATGTCAGCGCTGCGGACCAATGCTGGGGCGCCGCCGCAGAATGCGGCAGGCTCTGCAGCATCAGCACCACGCATCGAGATCCGCCCGCACAATGCGGAGCATGTCTGGCCGCGCCTTCGGAGGAGGGGCCACTGGAGGGCCTTCGGCTCTGGGGACAATAGAACCCAGGCCCCTCAGTGCCCCACCCCAGTAGCTGCCCTCCCCATGTCGTCCCAGCTCCATCCCCACCCTGCAGCTTTGTGAGAAGGCTCTTTCTTACTCTCATGTGCTTAAGAATCAAGACCCATATTCTCTGAGTTTGCAGGACCCTTCGGGGTGAGGCAGGCTGAGAAAGCTGGAGCCTCCCTGATACTGCTGTGCAGACCTGGGAACGAAAATCAGGAGGGTGGTGGGTTATAGCTCCAACTCTGAGGTCACTGTTTTCTGGAGGAGAGAGGGCTACCAGCCGATTGCTCCACAAAGGGCTGGTGTGTGGGTGCAGATGTACCTGGGATGCGAGGATGCACAGTACCTGGCAAGTAACCCTGCTTCATGAATATCTGCGTGGAAATTCACATAAGGACATATGAGCCAGTCAGGGGAAGACACCGAGCAGTGTTTTCTGTCTGAACCATCCCTGCTGTCATTGGTACCCTCCCTTTCACTTTTGGTACAAGTGAGGGTGTGAAGAGGGGGCATGGAGTGAACTGGAGCTACCTAGGTAAGGAGACTGTGTGGAGGGGGCCCATTGGGAGGAAGAGTCAAATGGTCAGAAGAGGACATACAATGTGTTCACATACAACACTGATTTAATATTCATATAGGGTCAGCGACATCTTACGAGGACCTTTTGATATTTCAATGACAGAAATTCTTCTGAAAGATTGAGACAGTACTACCACAAATGCATGGTCCAAAACAACATTCATATCACAAGGGCAGCTAAAAACCATCTGCCAATGCCTTTGTCCAGTTTGCATGGGCGTGCTGGATAGAGTGGCTGGGCACACAAGTCCTCTCTGAGGATAAGCTTCTGAGTTAGCTGAGTTTAGAAATGGGTCTTTTGTTCTCAAGGCATGCCCCTCCCCCACAATGTGTCCATGATGTGGCTTTCTGTAGTTGGTTTCCAGCTGGCCTGGTTCAAGAAGTCCTGGGTGAGCATCTGGCTCTGTCTCCTTGTCTGGACAGGGAAGATGCTTGGAAGCATCCTGAAGTCTGGACTGCCTCCCTGTCAGATGACATCAGGCTAGGCCAGCTCCCGGTGTCCCCAGAGAATAATGGTGCCAGGATAAAGGCTGACTCATGGTCCTATCTTCCAGCAAAGGCTGGCCCTGCCGGGAACCAGCTTCCAACCTCAGTCCAGCAGGGCTGGAGCTGATAGTGTGGCTAGGGTCTGGCTTGATGCCACTTCCAGTCTTAGAGGTGGTTGAGGGCATATTAGTTCAGAGTGAGGCCACCCCAGGAAGGAGGACAGTGGCGTGTTTAGCATCCTGGGGGACCCAAGACAGACTCTGCAGTAGGAATTCCAGGTTGCAGCAGTAGAAGAGCTTGGGGATCTGCCCATTACACAGCAGCAAGAACTGTAGTACACCCCATGTGCCACTCCCAGGCACTCAGATACCCTTGATGAGCTCCTAGGCATCCTCCTCTATCCTGAGAGATCTACTCTAAATACCTCCCAAGACTGGCAGAGCACTGCCACCACCACCCCCTCCCAGAAGGGCAGTGTTGGGTAGAAACAGATCCCAACCTCTGGCCTGGCCTATCCTATACTATAGGCTCCTCAGGGCAGCTCCTTGTAGGCCATGGCTGAAGGTGCTACAGGAATGAGGCCAGGAAAGGGGCAGGCTCTGGCCAAGGTTACAGATGGGTTATATCCGGGGCTGAGACTCTGCTGTCCTGCTGCAGTGCATGGCTGCACTGAGAGGAGCCTCGACAATCTCGTCACCACAGAGTAAGTGGAGGCTTTTGAACCTGCAGCCCCTTGCTTTTCTGGAGTTCGTAGAGTAAGCCAAGAGGGCCCGATGAGGATACTTGGTGTGCTTCCAGGCTGTGGATTCCTAATTCAGGCAGGCAGCTGTGGCTTCTGAGACTCCCTTCTTCCTATCCTGACTGCTCTCCCTACCCCTTTCCCACACAAACTTCAAGCAACTTCTGGACAGAGTTTAGGAAGATAGTGATGAGGCTCTACCTGAGTTTAATATTTCAACTGCTTTCTGGCTCAGAACCACAGCCTGTGGTCACTAATAGGCCAGAGGCACTTGCTGACGTAGCCTGTTGGAGGTGAGCAGTTGGGTCCTCACCTTTTGGAATTCCCATGAGCCATACATTTTTTTTTTTCTCGAGACAGGGTTTCTCTGTGTAACAGCCCTGGCTGGCCTGGAACTCATTTTGTAGATGAACTCACCAAGAGTCACCTGCCGAGTAGGTGCTGGGATTCTATCAGCTGAGTGCTGAGATTAAAGGCTACAATTACTCTTTAGGTCAGTCCCTCTTCCCCAATGCAAATGGGCAGATCTCTCATGCAAGATGCACATTCTGCAGTTCTGGTCCTTTAATGAGGACGGGCCTCACTTGTTTAAGCAGCCTACCGCATGGTTATGGCTGGGATTTTCCTGGTCACGAATTCCCCTTCCAGAAGCCCTCACCAGTAGGAGCACTCCTGCATGGCTCTTGTCATTCTTTCAATTCAGACATCCCAGTAATAGAGGGCCCAGTCTGAGTGACCTGAAGAGCTGGGTGGGGGGTGCCCAGTCAGTAGGTAGAGGTGAAGCTCTGCGGAGGTAGGGACCGCCTCTTCAGGAGCATGTGGTCTGACCCTTGCCTAGAGCTAGAATCCCCACCCCCGGCTTCTTCCATTTCCCACAGCTATCCTGGATGACCCCTGCAGTCACATTTACCCTTTTTCCTGGTCCCAGGCAGTTTGTGTCTCTATTTTAAAGTTCATTTAGTCCACCTCTGGACAAATGGAGATCAGAAAGGGACGATAGTAGCTGTGGTCTCACAGGATACAGGCTACTGGATATCGTTGTCACCCTCTGCCTAGCACCCTGGCCATGAGACCAAAAGTCACCTCTGTGCTCACCACGAGCACAGCAGCACCTCCCTGAGTGTCATGCGGAGCTCCTGGCTTCGAAAAGCATAGATGAGGGGGTCAACGATGGAGCTGAAGATGATGAGACTGAGGAAGAGGTTGAAGTTCTTAAAGACACAGCTGCAGGTGGGGTGCTGAGGGCAGAGGACGATAAGTGAGAGATGCAGGAAGAAGGGGCCCCAGCATAGGAAGAAAATTCCCAAAAGGATAGTAAGGGTGGCAGCACCCTTAAGGCAGAAGCCTTGGCGGGTGGAGTGCTGCCTTTTGTGGAGCTGGGCTATCCCGTGAGCATGCTGGCACGCTCGAGTGAGCATGTGGACATACAGAACTGCCATGAGTGCCAGCATGGCTAGAAAGAAAGTGACAAGGCAGATCAGGACGGCTGTGTGATTGTAGTAGATGATAAAGAGGGTGCTGAAGAAGATGCTGGCCACCCAGATACCCACGATGGCCCGTCGTGCCCTGGGCAGTGTCACAATGCTGTGATAACGCAGTGCATAGAAGATGGAGATGTAGCGGTCTATGGCAATGACACCAAGGAAGCAAAGACTGGACACCATGGAGCCACAGATGAGCACGTCAATGACATTGTCCAGTTGTTGCACCAAAGCAGCCCGGGTCACCAGGGCCCCTGCCTCCAGCAGCAAGATGACAATAGTCTCCAGTACGATGCTTATACTCACCATCAGGTCAGACAGGGCCAGACAGCAGATGAAGCAATACATGGGTGAGTGCAGGTTACGGTTTTTGGTGATGGCTATCACAACCAGCACATTCTCCACCAGACTCACCAGCCCCAGGCTGAGGAAGAGGCCATCCGGGATAGATACCTGCAGGCACCAAGGCCCTGTCTGGTTGGTGGCCAGTCCAAGGTGAGGGGTGGCTGTGGAGGTGGAGTTGAGAGAACCCAGAAGCCTCTTCTGGGGCCCCTGAGTGGGCATAGTCTTGTCCAGGAAGTAGGAAACAGTCAGTGGAGGCTTCAGCTCCAGGTGGTATCAGCCTTCCTGCGTCCTACTCAGCTCATGGTGTCATCAGGGGTTTCTGATGGTCCTCACACCTGCCTCTTTCCATCTGGGCACTCTCCAGTTTTTCTTCACACTTGCCCTTTCTGGCTGGACAGGTCAGTCTAGGCATGGCACAGGTCGACTCTAGACGCTTCTTGGCTAAAGCCCTGAGTTCTGCTCATGGAGTCTCACTACCAGTGTGACAGAGCCTAGCCTTCTGCTGCTCTCCCTGCTCTTCCCAGGAAGTGACTCAGATAAACATTTCTAAACTTGGCCCCCTGTTCCCCCAAGCAAGGGTAGGGGAAGAATGGAGCCTTTCTCTGAATCTTTTAACTCATTCCCAGAGCCCCTCTCCCTGAGGGTGGCCACATGATGGGCATGTGCCCCAGCACCCTGGACTGCCTCTAGGGGGCATAAGCTGCACTGAGAAACTGGAAAACCTAACTCCAGACTCTAACACAGGGTACTGCATCTCCCTTTGTGTTCAAAGTCCCTGTCAACTTGCCAAATCCCTTTCAGGACCTGCCCTAGGTGTAGCCCTGCCTAAATCTCCAAACCTATCTCTAAGTCACTTTCTTGAGTTGTCCTCAACCTCCTCCCTCTGCTATGCTGCTCTGCCTTGGGCAATCACAGGGTGTGAACTAGGCACCCCTATCTCCCACCCTCACCACCATTCTCAATTAGAAGCATGCCAAGAGCAGTGACACTTCTATCTGAAACAGAGGACATGTACACATGTCACCAACTCAGCCACTGAATTCCAGGTAGCTTGAATTTAAGGCTGGATAGACCGAGAATTTTCAGTATCAGTGGTAACTGCAGGAATTACAGGCAGGGCTCAGGTAGACAAGAGCCCTATACCAATGGGCTCAGATGAGCTCTGGCAGGGCCAGTGGCACTCCATGTCCCTCAAGGCCCCAACCTTGCTAAAGCTTCCTTTAGCTACAGTTCTGGGTGTGGCAGGAAGCTGTCACTTCCTGGGAGCTGACTGACTAGAGGGGGTCCTGAGGCCATCCACCAGCATTCTTTAGTCACATCGTCTCTCATGCTCATGGATCCCTCCTCTCCCCGCAGCACAACCCTTCCCTTGAGAAACCCCATTTCCGCTGTGGGACACATGCCAGCCCTGGAGCCAGAAACCACATCAGGGCAGACTTCTGTCTCCAGCCTCTGTGGGCCAGCAGCTGGGCATGTGACTATTCATAGTGGTCAGAACAGCAAGCAGGGGTGGTATCAACCCACCTCTAGCTGCTGCTGGACTTTCTCCATGGAACCTTCTCATCCGCAAAATATGCTCCCTTCCACATACAGGTGAAGAAAATAAGGTAGGAAAGCCAGCAGTAGAGTTAGAGGCAGGAATTAGCTGGAATGCACATTCAGTGTTTGTGATACCAGTGTTAAAAGCCCACTCTTGTTTTTTGTTTTTTGTTTTTTTTTTCTGGAGACAGGGCCTCATTATAATATAACCTTGGCTGTCCTGGAATTCACTTGGTAGAGCAGGCTGGCCCAAAACAGAGCTAAACGTGTGAGCCACCACTCCCAGCTGAGTCTGTTCTTTCTCTTGCCTACTCTGGCAACCTCTGGTCATAAGGTGCATGCATACCTTTCACAGCCACTGTGAAAGCACACATGAACTATGTGAGCATCCACTAACAAATGTTAGTCATTTCTTACATCTGGATTTTGTACTTACCTTTTTGCTTTCACTCAACCCTGCAGTAAATGACAAATATAAAAGTGACACACTCCAAATTGAGCATGGTCAGAACTACTTTCCCAAAATCAATAAAATATAACTTACACCCATTACGTTGGGCCTTCCTGGCCTCAGCACTATCAATTTTGTCTATCTTGGAACATTACATGAAATAGAATCTTCCCATTTATACTCTTTGTTCACACTAAGAGCCCCCTTGTTATTTGGGTAACTAAAGCATTCAGGTTGTCTAGTGTCCATTATGTGAATGACTCATGCTGGACATTTGGCAGCTTGTGGCCAACCTTATCCTGATCAGTGCTGTTGGTAGATCTCACAGGATATCACCAGCAGACACAGGCATGTGCTTATGCTAAATGATACCTACCAATGGAACAATGCAGGCATGAGGTCAATCTTCAGTTTTAGTAGATCTGGCCAAACCACTTTCAAACTGGTGGGCCTGTTTCACAAACTGTGCTCACACCCTCACGTGTACTGTGTTACTGATATATAGCATGAGAAAGTGACTCTGGGTGCCCTGAATGTCCCAAGCCTCACAGAAGGGCTCACACTACCACATTCATAGGCCTTATTCTGCTTATAGCTGAAAAGGGCCCCAGGTCTGATGGGGTGGGCAGGGCCATGACTGTGGTGGCCTGAGAGTCTATGCCATGGCTGGCCCCTAAAGCCACATGATGCCCAGGCACTTTGGGCAGGCCACTTTTCACTTCTGGGACATGAAAGAGCAAGTACCCCCTGCCCTAACTTTTTGTGCCGTCACATTTCAGAGAGGTTGGTATTTCTGGCTTCAGAATGAAGTCTTTGAGACAACCACAGTTTACCCTGCAGACAGCCTGACTTCAAAGGATGGGTAAACTGGACAGTCTCTAGCACAGGCAGCCACATCCTTTCTGGCAACCTGCTGAGGGGTGTTGAGAGGAAGGTGACCACGCCTTTCGATTCATTTTGAAGCACAAAGTAACAACTAGAATCTCCAGAGAAGGAAATAGGAAGGCAGAGCTGGGAAAGCCAGTTGTGCTACCCTGTGGTGGGGAGATGGCAAAATTAGTCTTGGGACTGTGTGGATTGGATGAAGCTGAGTGCCCTGAGCCTGATCATACCTCAAGTTTGATTTTCCAGTGGCTTTGGGAGAAGTACATGACAAATGGCACATAGGAGTGACTACCTACCTAGTAGGGAACACTACCTGCAGAATAGCTATGTGGCTCGGTCCACAATGCAAAGAGCAGCCTGCATTCCATCAGGCAGACACAGGGGAGAGGCTCAGTGCTTCCCTTAGGAGATCCCAAAAACCCCTGGGCAGCGTGAGTGCGTCCCTTCTGGCTCTGGTTACAGCTTCTCAAGAAGGCCATTCCTGGGGCTGAAGAGATGGTTAGGCAGTTAAGAGCACTGGCTGCTCTTCCAGAAGACCCAGGTTTGATTTCCAGCACCCACTTGGTGACTAAGAATTGTTTGTGATAGCCGGGCAGTGGTAGTACACACCTTTAATCCCAGCACTTGGGAGGCAGAGGCAGGCGGATCTCTCTCTCTCTCTCACACACACACACACACACACACCATTTCTAACCCATCCTCCTCTGCTCCCCAATAAAAACAAGAGTTGTTTGTGAATTCAGTTCCAGGGGGTCCAACATTCTTTTTTGTACACCCTTTCCCGGTTTCTGTAGGCAATATATGTACATGATACACAGACGCACATTCAGGCAAAACACTCAAACACACAATAAAAGAAAAGTTAAAAAGGCTATGTCACCATATCGTCATTTGAAAGTCATTCATTTCCTCTGAACTTTCTGTGGGAGACAGCAAACAGGTTTTCTCCCTGACTACATGAAAATGCACAAATAACCAACAATTCTGCACAGGAGCACACAGGCAGGCAGTCTTGCTGAGACTGGGTCCAGGGAGGAGTGGGATACACTATCACTCCCACCTGGGTGGCAGGGCAGACTTTAAAGCTGGAGATGACATGCAGATTAGGTGTGGTGGTGCACGCTTTTAACTCTAACATTTGGGAAGTGAAGGCAGGCGGATCTCTGAGGCCAGCCTGATCTACATAGCAAGTTCTAGGCCATCAAGGGCTATACATTGAGACCCTGTCTCAAAAAGTTACTTTTCCTGATGATCCGCAGATGACATGAATGACTGGTTTTTATTTATCACCATTAGAAATGGATTCAGTTGTAATTACTTAAGTCTGAGCAACACTTCTGAAGCCGATCATTTAATGGCCTCTCAGGATACAGGCCTGGAGGTGGGAAGTTTCCTGAAGGCCTAGGGCATCCTCTGCTTCACTGTTCCTAGTACACTGGCTCTTCATTTTGGAGTTCATTGCCTCGTGGTTGTAGAATAGCTGCTGCAGCTCCAGATATCATATCCTCATCTGGATGGACTTACAGCTGCTGAAAGGAAGAGGCAGGATGCCAGGTTTTCTGTGCTTGCTTGTTATTTCCAGAAAACAAACCCAATCCCTCCTCCCCTCAGCTGAAACTCACCAGAGGCCACTCCAACTTGGATTCAGACATTGAATTAGGACCATCTCAACAGTACCCTCCCTGGGACTGGGTGTAGATCTCCCACCAAACCCAGGAGTAGGTGAGGCAACTGGTGTGGGGCTAAGCCCCTCAGGCCTGCCCTCCCCAGGCCCCTGCTGACCCATGAGCACAAACAGAAGAACCTGTATCCAGACTTCATGGCTTTGCCAACTCATGCTGGAGAAAAAACAGAGACGCAGCACCAATTCATGACATGTGACCTCTCACCAGGCACATACGTTGGACATAGAACCCCCCCCCCTGCAAATGGCTAACTTAGAAATGGGCTGTGACATTTAGGCTGACTACAGATGGATACAAGTCAGCCCTTGATGTCCTGCTGAGGGGACAGTGACCCAGGCCCCTGCTCAGCTACATGTTGTTATGCTGGTGCTAGAATTATGGGTGCTTGTGAGCTACTTGCCATGGGTGCTTAAAATCAAACCCTGATCCTCTGCAAAAGCACCAAGCACAGTAAGTACTTTGAACCACCAAACTGTCCCATTTTTCATTTATTTGGTGTGCTTGTATAGGTGTGCACATGCCACAATGTATGTGTGGAGGTCAGAGGACAACCTACTCCTGTTGTTCTCTGGAGTTAGTGCTCTCCATCCATCATATGAATCCTGGGGATTGAACACAGATTATCAGGCTTGGCAGCAAGTACCTGTACTCACTGAGCCATTTAGATGGCCCTCAGGACACTCCTGAAGCATGCTTTATCTGTCCACACCAGATGCATCCAGTGATGTCTGAAACAACGTTTGAACTCCCAGGAAGCGATCAATGGACCAAGAATTAGGAGGGACTCCACTGGCCATCTCGCAGACTAGAGGCCATGGTAGTACCTCCCCCAGTACATGCAGAGATGGGCAGGGATACCCAGAGATACCTGACATAGCTTACAACATCTCAGTAGCCTGAATCTTTCCACAATAAGCTTGAGACATGAGCCTCTGGCCTTGCCTGGTTGTGGCCTCTGCTCCTGCCAGTGGACTGGGGTTCTTGGTCATGGCTCCCCACTTATCCTAGATCAAACACCCTCTACTCTGTAAAGCATCCCTGACCTGTCTAGGAAAATTTACTGCCTCAAAGTTGCTTCTTAGAGTTTCTTTCAATTCCAGGCACCTCATGCCCCAACCCCTTCTTTTGAGATGGGGTCTCATATAGCTTTGAACTTAAAATGTAGCAGAGGATGACCTTAAACTTCAGTTCCTCTTGTCCCTCTCTCTACCTCTTGAGTACTGAGACTACAGATGAACACTACCACAGCTGGTTTGCGTTGTGCTGGGGATCAAATGCTGAGCTCTATGCATACTAAACAAGCAGTCTCCAGCCCTGAGTTTACTAATAAAATTCCTAGATTGGGACTATCATTTAATGATAGATCACATGCCAGGCCCTGGATTTGATCCCCACCACTGCAAACATACTGGGTGTAGCATGTGTGGAAGGTTCATTGCCCTCTAGCAAGGAGCATGTGGGGTCCTTGCACTAAAGACTCTGGAATAACCCCTTCCTATGCATTATGTTACAAATTCTGGAAGTGTGAGGCACACGGTAGATGTATACGGTGTGGGGCTCACTGCTCCTGGACTACTTTTGAGGACACTGGAGGAAAAGCTCACTCACAGCAGAGCATAACCCACTCACATTTAGAGGGAAAACAAAAGACACGGGTAGATGACATGGTCAGCATTTCTACTTCAGGGAACTGGTTAATTCCAACCAGAAAAGAATCAGGAACATAATTGCACAGCATCTGGACAGTCAGTCCCAGTCCCCCTCGCCCTCAGGATTGTCCTCCCGAGGCACCTCCTGGTCGTTGAAGTGGAAGTTGGCCATCATGTCACGTACGGCCAACATCAGCCTGTTCAAGCCTTGATTGCGGTTCGGACCCCTGGCCACTCCTTCCTCCAGCCTCTCCCCCTGAACAATGAGACATATCTAAGTGGGGGCTGTCTGTATAGATTTGAGACCCGGGGTTTAGTAGTCTGAGGCAGCTCAAGCCCCAAGATTGGGCCTGTCCCCTCCCAAGGTCTCTGCCCAGAAGAAGCTCTAAAAAGCCAAATGTACATGTTTAACCATGGCCAACCTACCACGTTATTGACCATCTGTCAGCCTCACGCTACTCACCTTGGAACAGCTTCTGCAGTTTCAGCAGGCTAAGCCCCCACTTCCTAAGCATGGCACCACAGGCAGGCACAGTCTCAGCCATCCTGCCTCCACCCTGAGCCGGACTTGCCCATAGCAACTTGGGAGGGAAAGACCCATGTGTTCAATCAACATACCTCTGTGGTATAATTTGGCAACAATGACCGGAAGAAGAGGGCGATTGTGTTTCCATGGCTGACTGGACTCAGTCTGAAAATTATAAAAGGTCAGAAAGTGAAGGTCAACAGGCACTGTGGAGTCTCAGCCCTTGTCAGCTGTCCTTACCCAGTCTCCTTACTGCTAAGGACAGGCAGCCTCTAAATGGAGCTAAAGCTCTGGGTCCTAAACTGCAGATCAGGATCTGGGGTGGGCAGTGATGACTATTATCCCGCCTAGGGTGGAGCTGTGGACACCCAAGAGCAATGAGGAAAGGAGAAGTAAGGTGTCCCAGAGTGCTGGCTCTTTAGGACCTAGCCTGCTGGGTCACAAGGAGAGAAGGCTAGATGACTACGGCATGTGAAGGCTGGGGAAGGCATAGGCAGTCACAGAAAGGCAGACAGGAAAAGTCAGGGCATCTCAGGAGATGCAGCACAGCTCTACTGCACAGTATCATCACATTTCTATTCTGGGGACTACAAGAGCAGAGCAGAATGTTTCTGAAACCACTGAAAATTCTCTTCTTAATCTAAAACCTTAAATGGCAGTCACTCTACTCAATATGTTTTGCCAAGGTCTAGATGGCCTATGCTCCTTTCTTGAAATGGACTGTGGAGGCAATGGACCCAGGTAAGGCAGCTGTGAAGGCTAGGAGGAAAGGGAAATGAGTTATTTCATGACCCAGACTCTAAAAACTGCCCAAATGCACATGGCAGCCTGTGAACCAGGCATGTTCCCTATCAATGCTTGACCTACTACCTCATTCTCCTGGCTCAGCCACATGGACCTTCCTTCAGTGCTCACTGGACCTTACACTGCTCTTAGAAAAGGGTTTTTGCACATGGTAGAGTACCAGCTGCCATCCTTTGTCTGGTTGGGACATATCTTTCTACAAAGCAGGTGACTTTCACTTCCTGGTCTGGCATGTCATTATTTGTCATTTTCTCCCACAGGTTCATAGGCAAATTTGACCCAATGTCTATGTCTAGGTTCCAAGTTTGATGTCCGTTGTATAGTGCACCAGGCCAGAGGTGGCTCTTTATTTTGCTTCCCATACGTGCTACAAAGCCTAAAGGGAAGTGGTCGGACCTTTGGTGGATTCAGAGGAAGCTCCAAGTTACACTGTGCTTCCCCTACCTACTCCTGAGTAGATTGGCCCCTTAGCCTGTGTTTGCCTTTTTTCTCCTAATCTGTAAGGGCAGCCCCAGTCAGCCCCAAAGTACCAAACAGGGTTTGTGGGTGTGAGAACAAAGCAGACAAGGTACCTCTCTGGTCTGACGTACGAGTAGATGGTATCCAGGGGAGGCAGAGGATCAAATCCCATCACAGACTGTGTGGTCACATCCTTTAGGAGGGACAAAAATAGATTCTGGAGAACTGCTGGCAGCCTCTGCCTTCCAAAGCTTCAGCTGCTCTCAACTTAGACTTGACCCATCTGCTGGGTGGCAGCCTCTACACCTGACAGAAGTGGCCGTTTTCTGTTCCAAGAAACTAGGTCTGAGTGGAACAGTCTCTCCCAGAGGATAGTCAGGGGGAACGTGTATGATATTTTGCCCCAGGCAGTGGGATGTAGGGATTTCCCATA